CTCTCTCGAGCAAATTGACAGGTCTCATCCAGTCGGATTCTGAGGTCTATCATGTACTGGTATGTGTTCCTCACTTCTGATTCTTCTTTTCCTGTCCACAGCTCTTTAAATATTTGCATCAGACCTCGTATTGTTTCTCTGAACAGCAACTTGAAGTGTAAAGATTTTATACTTGCTTGTGGGACTTCTCGATAAGCAAATAATACTCCATACAGGCACCTGTCCAGCTCGTGTGATCTCTCTTGGCACATCTTCTTCAGCATATTATTTAAGACTCCATTACATCTAGGGTTGTATGGGGTGGTAAAGAGCTGCCTAGTACTGATGAATCTGCATACCTCTTAAATCAGTTCCAAGGTAAACTTCTTTTCGAAAGCCTACTCTGCAAAACACTTCCAGGAGGGCTTCTTCTACTCCTTCTGTCTCTATCTTTTGCAACGATACGGATTCTGGGTAACTTGTTGCATAGTCGACTACTACCCGGATGAAGACCCTTTAGTTTTTGAGTACATTGATTAAAATAAATATTTCTTTACCAATTAAAGATAGTTATTTTTAAGAGTAGAGTTCATTAATAGAATTAAACAACAAAAAGAAGTAGATCAAAATGTTTTCTGCACTCTTACTAAATGGGTTTAATTTGCCACCTTTCGACTTTAACCTCTCATCATGCAAAGAACAAAATATAAATGACTGAAGAGGAGAATCAGTTGGAATTAGGATAGATATAAATAACACTAGATTGGCCAGTCACAACTTTTTATCATTGAAGGGCATGCGCGCATGCGACCGCCATTGCTATGTGTTGAAGTTCGAACTGACAGACAATGTAAAATGACTGAGAGTGACAGTTAACGAAGGGAACACATTAACTGCTACACATACCGTAACCAAGTGTCGAAGGCAGAGGATGTTACATCCCACAAGTAAGTAAAAGCTTTTTTTTCTATAATATATTAAGTTACAATAGGCGACATCGCCGTGGACGTGGTGGCGACATCGAACTGGCGTGGATGTTTGCATCTAGTTTCGAAGTATACACGTGAGTCTTTTTTGGAAGGAATTTCACCTACACATGTCGGCATGACAGTTTGATAGCTTTTGATTTGAAATGTTGATAATATTAGTTTCTCATGTAAGTTGAAATAATCATCCACAACATTCTAACGTCGCCTGTTGGCCAATCAGGTTATAAAGAGATGCCGCCAAAACATACACTGTCTACAGATACAAGTTCTGTGTACATTCACTTTTGATGCTATCACTGACTGTCAAGGTATAAGTTTATTAAATATATCACTTCGTTTAATTGATGAAAGAGGAAATTGGGGTTAATTTGTATGGTTTAAAACAAATCTAGTCTGATCAGTGACGTTATGGCTTATCCGGTAAACATAGGCCTAATAGTAATACTGTCAATAGACTTATTATCAGAATTACATGAGAGATTAAATTTTTGTAGGTGGTCACGTTCAAAATCCTTGAGCTGTCGGTGTCATTATGATAAATAATCAGTATGCAGTACAAGTAGCCCAAAATATTTTGTGTTGCTTGAACTAAAAACAAAACAAAAATACATCAATGTTACTGTGATATAGAAGTGTGATTATAACAGTGAGCCTAGTTTTATTACTGCTTATATA